TTAAAAAGCAGAGGCACACGATGCTTTTTCTCTCCGTGTGTCAGGATGGGGTTAGTTCTGCCTGTGTACTCAGAAGTAGGCCAGCATGAACCTGCATGAATGGCTGAGGAGGTGGAGGGAGGCTTGTGTGGGACTCCAGAAGGGATGTGTTGTGTTGTGGTTAGTGAGTACTAATATGTCTATAATTAGCCATTGACATGTGCTCTCGTTGCTGTGCTAGTACTGCTTTGTTAGAACAGTAGCACTAAATAAGCTATGAATATTAAGTGTCAGTAATTGTACAAAACTAAAGGCTGCTGTGTCGGCAGTAATTAGCAGCTCTGTTTTCATTATGGCTGGGACTACGTTGATGCAGTGAGGCTGTGGTTGATGGACGGAGTGAGAGATGGCGTTGTAGGACCAGAACTCTCAGCAGCCAAGTGGAGCTCCGTTATTTCACACGAGGGAAAAGAGGGGATGATCCTAGCCGCTTTTGTACAGTGTGAAGGGCTGTTCGTTTGCAAAGCTCCATAGGACAGCTATTACTGATTCTAGTAGGTTTGTGGTGAGTGATTAGATGGCTGCTTGCTTGCTGCTGCTGGCAGACTTTCTAAATTCTTCATTAAGGCCTTTCCATTGCCTGCAATGACAGTTTCATCCTCTCAAAAACTTGGGGGGAGGTAGGTTTTTCCCTAATGACCTGTCTCCTTCCAGCAAATACTGAACTGAATCTTGAGTGAAGCTGGAATTAACAGGTTTGTTTCCATGGAAATCTCTTAGACTTGGAAGTTGCTGTACCTTAAGGGCTGTAGAGTTTGTAAGGTGAATGAACGCACTGCTCTTTTTTTCTAAGGCACCCCTTAGATAGAATATCTCTATGTGGCTCCCATCGCAAGGGCAGCTGGCTCTGTAGTGCTCTTTGTGGCTAGGATGACAGTGTTTTCCTTCCCCTCCCCTGCTAAACTAATCTTGCTCTCCTCTCTGCCCACAGCACCTGCCATTACAGCCGCCTCTTCTGGGAGTGGGGGGAAGGTGTCAAAGTGCACGACTCTCAGAAAAGGCAAGATCCACAGAAGCTATCAAAGGAGGATGTCCTGTCTTTCATCCAAGCGCACTACCCCTAACCCTGCTCTCTTGAGGGATGCAGGGGGAGCTGAGCCCAGCTTGGATTCTTCAGAGACTGATGAGACTGGGGAGGCTCCACAACTTCTATCCTGGTCTTCTCCAGAGCCGATTTCCTGGAGGTGGTCGAGCCAGGGGGTGGTATGCAGAAGGCACAGGACGAGGCTCTACCCTGGCAGTGTATATAAGAGTACGGCCCAGGTAGCGCCTGCTGCCGGAGTACTCATGGTGACTCCTGGAGCCCAGGCCTAACACCCTTTTGTCCTGGCCTACTGCATGCATGAGGCCAAGGGGCTGGCAGCTTTCTTTGCTCCTGTTCAAACATTCAGCGAGGTTTGTGGAGCTCTGTGTGTGCCAGAACTCTCCAGGCTTGTGCTTCCCTGGCAGTGTGGAAAGGAGCAGAGATGTCTTGGTGGCAGAGCTGGGCAACAGCACATTGAAGCGGCCCTGCGTTGTTCCTGGCAGCTGTCTGTCTCCTCAGCCTTGTCAAAGGCCTGCACTGCCGAGTGGAGGGTGTTAACTCATTGGAGAATGCTAGCTTTGGGACACAAGTATGTGTTCTTGTTGGTGTCTCCAACACTTTTGCTTGTCAAGGCACTTGGCTGGCCACTGGCAGTTCCTATGTGATGGTATCCTGTTGGACAAAGGCCAACACAGGTGATGAGCAGCGTTCCTGGCACAGATTTGATGTGCTCCGTGCCAGGGATTTCTCAGACCTCTAGAAGCTGCTGTGACAAGGATTTCCCCTTTGCAGGTCAGTGACTGATCCTGAGCCAGCAGCCTGGGGTTAATTTGTGAACATGTCTATGCCTCATGGTACTTCTGAGACCAAGGTGCTTTGATTCTTGGTACTCGACACTGTTACCCAGATCTTCAGGGAGCAAAGCGGATGTGGGAGGGAAGACACAGGAACGTTGGGATGCTGGAGGTCTTTGGAGGAAATGGTGGGAATGTCTGACTTAGTTAAAAAAACCCAGGGCTTCAGTGAAAAGAGATCTTCGACTTTGACCATGTTGGCTAATCAGGAGAAATCCTGTCCCCTGACTGTGCCCACTGGAAAGGCTACCAGACTTTCCTTTTTAAATGTCAGAGTGGGCTTTGAGACCCTCCGTGTCTCATTTGGCCCTGGAACTGCAGCTGGGGTGAAGGCACAGAGCTCTGAAACTCTCAGCGTGTGTCAACAGACTTCTCCATGCGCTTCTGTGCTGGGCTCAAAGTAGTCTTCTGTTGCATGTTTTACATTCACTTCTGGTTTCCGTGGCACTTTTGCCAGGTCTTCCACATAAATCAGAAGATAACACACAGTTGACTGCTTTTGGCCAAGCAGCAAAATTGCCCTTTTTTTTTTGTTGTTGTTGTTGGCTTGTTTTTAAACACAGATTAGCAGTAGGGAGGAAACTAATTTAGGGGTTGTCTGAACTGTGCCTTAAAGAAAGCTATAGTTCTCATAGAATCTATAGCAGTTTGTTTAGATTCTTGTTTCTTTCTCTCCACACCCGTATGTATGATTTGAACAAGCTTTATGTAACAAGACATGGAGATTTTCACTTGTAGGTGTATAGGTGCATGGGTGCCCTGCACCCCGCCTGAAGAAGCCAGCAGAAGTCCCACCTCCACCCTCTTGGCCCAGCATCACGTGCAGGTTTTGTGCTCCTTCTCAGCACGCAGTTGAGCATCATCCTACAAGTAGGTTGTGCTCTCTGAGCTTGGAGCACTTCCATGTCTTCAAAAGCAAATTGTCTCCATATAACCATGGATTAACTCTCTACAGTTTGGTATAAGTGAACTTAACAGCTGCAACTCCTTGCACCAGAGAAAATCATATGCAGGCTTAATCACTGCAGAACCACACCCCTGGCTAAAGGAGCAGCACAGAAGTTGGCACGGTCTGTTGGTCAGCGGAAGCTGGAGGATGCAAAGCTCGGGAGTGGATGGGAGGTTAGCTTACAAATAGGCAGCCCTGAATATTGTGCAGGGGAGCTATTCTTCTCAAGCTCTGGCCAAAAGTGGGTCAAAGCTGCTTTTTCCACATTGGTGATTATTAGTCCCCAGACACAGTTAGGTCTACTAACGCAGTTGAGGGACTGCATGCTGTTAATGCATCCTCTTGCTGACCTCCAGACCCCCCTGCTCTCAAGTATTGGTAAAACATGTATGAAAGAAATGGTGGCCCTTCCCCCCTGCAAAGAACAACGGGCCTGTCACTGGCAGTTTTGTTTTGGCAAAGGCACTTCCATGAGGAACGAGGAAGAATCTCTTCCAGTGGGCAGTAAAGAACCTCCTACATGTGTGGTTTCCAGGCCTGTGTGCAGTTGGCTTTTTAAACCAACCAGTAATCGAGTTCTGGTGCTTGTTTGGACTGCCTTGAGGCTGTTCCAATGCCAGCAAAGCATACTGCTCCCTCTGCCAAGCTCCTTTGCCAAGTGTTGTGTCCTCCACTCAGGGCTTTGGTCTCCTGCAGGCTGGCAGACAGAAGGGTGACTAGGAAGTACACTAGGGTGCGTGCAGGCCTCTGAGGGTGCCAAGAAACCCGGTTAGCCTGTAGGCTAGCTTTTATGAACAGATACTTTTCTGTTTACCTAGTTGCCTCCAGCTCCTCCTGATTTTAATTTTATTTTTGATGCACTGAACCTTGATTCTCAATCCCCCTTTGAGAAGGCAAGCATGAGCCACCATGCTACTTGCTTCCCTGCTGCAGGGTAAATACAGAGGGATTATGTTGGGAAGGGGGGTGAGGAAGGTCTTGCTGAAGGGAATGTTTATGTACATTAATTGCACAATGTATTGTTATTAGGCTGTGTATCATTTTGTGTTGACTTCTCTGCTTTTATTGTCTCTATTACAAATACAGCCCCTTTAGTTCACAACAGTGCTTGTTTACTTTGCTTCCCACAAAATTCTGGCCAGCAGTGTGTGTTAGTGGGGAGACAGAGAAATGCCTTGCACAGTTAAATTTTCAAGGCAGTCCCCTTTTAAAGGCTTTCTTGGCAAGTTAGAGCACACTGAGGGCTACCTAGTGTATGTCACCACATCAGAATGAGAGGGGAGCTACGGGGGACAGTCTCCAGCACTCCTGCAGCATGCTAGGCTGCTTTTCCACTCAAAGGAAGCAAACACGTAGGTTCCAGGCCGCAGCAGACCAATAACCAACTGCTGAGACCTTGCTGACCAGGGATGTTAAGTGCCTAACCCAGTCTAGGCTTACTGTGGTACAATGTGTGCCAGCGGGGAGATGGTAGGAGGAGAATAAAGCAGTGGCTGAGGCATGTTACAAAACAGGAAAAAAAGAAAAACAGGAAGTTACAAGATCAAATTTATTTTATTTAAAGCTCTGCAGAGGCACTTCCATCCCTGCGAGTTGATAGTAAATTCCCAAGTGTTTATTCTCAGAGGCACAAAATGGCTACCAAGCACTGATGCACTGGAGAGGCAGGTAGATCTCCTCAAAGCCCAAGCACCCAGATCTCAAGCTGGATGCTACCTGCTTGCAGAAAGAGAGATATCTACCTCCCATCTGTTTTTGTGGAGCTAGGATTCCTTTGGTCCTCTAAAGTCAGTGTGGAGGGGGAAACAACTTTGTTTATCTCAGCTCTGGGAACACGCGGAGTCTTCAGGTCACAATATCCAAGTTACCCTTTGATTCAAAGAGCTTGGTGTCCCTTTAGCTTATGGCTGAGTCACAGGAACCAAGAAGGTGGCATGTATTCTGACTGGGCTGGGCAGAGAGCACTTGTCTGCAAGCACAGAGGTCCTCTTCAAACGGGGAGAACATATTGCCTTCCTACATCAGGCTGGATGGTCTTGAATGCATTTTGGGTAAGACAGCACCACCTGGAGCTCTGCTTGACCTGATTTCCAACTTCAAGCATGCTATAATTTCTGGTTTGTCTCCTGTCCCCCTCAGTTCTCAGAGAAAAAAACTTCCCTACAATGAGGCTTAGAGAGGATAAACAAGAACGGCCATTTGAAATGCTGATCCTCACCCTTGGGGGAGGCACAGTGGTGAGAGGAGGAAGAGCTCCTTGCAGGAGAGTCATCTGGTCAGCAGGGAGAATTCTTGAGTGCAATCACATCATCCAGCAGGCGTAAATAAGAGCAATCAGCAACCCCATGGCCACAGCAAGGGCAGCATTCTTGCGATTCTCCTTACGAAGCACGCTCAGTTCTTTCTCTGGGAAACAAACAAAAGCCTTGCCTGTGAATCTTCTTTGTGTTGCAGGTACATCTTTCAAAACTGTCTTAAAAGCACAACGCTACCTTGGCCACAGGCAGCTCTTTTGGGATCAGTATGCAAAGCTGCCCATTAGATGTGCTGAACAGGAAGTAAACTAGCAGGAACCCTTTCACTTGCTAACTCTCATCTTCATCTCTGTGCTTAGGAATGCGGCAGTGCCAGACCAGTTCCTGTTTGCAAATGACCTTGTTCTAGGACCCTACTAAGGGCAGAATGGGGCATTAGAACAATTGCTTGTTCCCTAAGAGAATGAAGACGACAGGGTAGAGAGCTATTTCTACTGTCTTCTAGAGATGACAGCCTGGTACCTTTTCCTAGTGCTTAAATTTACTTAAATACAACTGTGGCCACCATTGAATGTTGCAGAATCTGGGTTTCCTTGTGCCCCAGAAGGATGAGTGTGGAGCAGGTCTGAGCCTGGACACTCATTCTGTTGGGGTCTGCAGCTTTTTAGAGACAGGTCACTTTCCCTGGCCCTGGTTTACAAAAGAAGAAACACAGATGCAGAGAGAGGAAGGCAGTGGCTACCAAAAGTATGGAGTCCTAGTCATCTCCATTTCTATTCTGCTCCCTTTATCAAAGGTGAGAAGCCATTCTCGCTAGTTCTGTTCCACAAGACTTTTCTGGATGGTATAGCCAAGAAGTGAGGCCTACAGCCTTACACACTGCGTGGCCAAACAGCAATAATTATTTTGCAGGGCAAGGTCGGGTGCAGACTGTCTCCAGAGCCAGACTGCTCTTGCTGCTGAATTCAGGTGCAGTGACTGCACAGGTTACTGCCTCTACAGTTTGCACTAGCAGCCTCCAGCGGGAATGCCTTGGTACTGCGTGTTCCCAAACCGGTGCTGGTATCAAAACAGACTTTTAGCTGTTTTTTCTGCCCCCGTTCTTCATGTAGTACAAGCATTCTCATGCAACCACAGAGCGGGCTGCTTGAATCTGCAAGGCTACAGAGGAGGTGGTAGGGGCAGGAGGTCACATAACCCCAGGCACAGCAGTGCCACCTTAAACTAATGGAGCAATGCCATTGTCGGCAACTGTTCATGGCCTCAAGTGTGTCAGCTGGAATAAGCAGATTTAATCAGAGGCCACAGCAGTGATCTAAAAAGACTGTGTGCACGTGCACTGGCTGTTCTGTTCCAGGAGGAGCAGCGATCACCATTAGGTGAGGCTGTTGCTGCTGTCTGAGCAGCCTGTCAGATTGCTCTGCTGATGTGCTGTGATGGCTGCCTGTTGGTAAAAGGGTGGCAGCGATGTGCAGTCTTCTGCTGTCTCTATTGGTAGGCCCTTAGGGAACAGCTTTGAATCTGTTTAAAATAACTGTTAGTCTTCTGGAAACAGTCCTTTAACATGAGTTAAAATTACAAATACGCTGGCCATACCCCAGCTTTCAACTCTCCAGGCCTAAAAGAACACCTGTTCTTCTTTCCCTTGTGTGAGCTCTGGTGCTTGCACTGCTGCAGAGTGCTGTCACGCAGTTAACACACTGATCAGCACCAGCAGCCTGAAGACATGCAAAGCAGCATCCCTAGCACAATGGAAGTGCTGTCAAACGTGCAGTAGCTGAGGGACGCTCATTTTAACTGTCTACAGCAGGACTTGCAGCAAGGAAAGACCCTGGCTCTCTGGAATTACAGGCAGCACATCAGTGTGAATCCCTATGCTCGTGTGCTGAATGGGCCCAGAAAGTAATGCAGCGAGAACCTTCCCCAAGGAAGGTATACTTTGCTACAGTCCAGACAGCACTTGTCAGCTTGCTTAGCAAGCCTCCAATAAAAAAGAGAAGGGGGGGGGGAAGAAGGAGGAGGGATGTTAAAAGCCACTCAAGTCAATCTGTTGGCTAAGATTATCTAAAGACTGGTAATTTGGGGTATGTGAAAGGGATACCTTTCCCCCCTCATTAGCTGATGCTTATTTTTTTCCCTATGATAGCACAGCTCAAGCGGGAGGATTCAGACTCGTATTATATAATATGCTGACTAGATTTCCCTCAGTCTAGCTCCCTTTGGTTGAACCTAAATTCAAAGGCAGAAGTCAGAGGTGCCAGGAGCTTGAAGACGAAGCTAAGCTGCAGCACTGATCCCATCCAGCCCAGAGGGACCATTTTTAATGAAGCTCTTACCATAGTTGTCAGCTTTGGTCATTAGTAAGTTTCTCTCTCTCTCCAGTGACTTTCTGTAATGAGAAGAGGAGTTCATTACCTGTGAGGCACAACACAGCCTATTTCTTTGCTTATATGATGGAAGAGAAACTGTCCCACTGCCAGGGATATCTGCTCACGGAATGAGCCCCTCACCCTTCACTGTGGAGAGCTGACAGTTTAGAAACTCCAAGCTGTGCAAGAGAAGAGATGCAGGAGTTTTAGATTATTTTTTCCTTCCCCCAAACTGCTTCATCTCTCTCCTTTCAGGGCAGTGTCAGTGTATGCAAGCAGGCTAGAAAGGGATCTGTGTGTCAGAGAGCCCCCGACTCTGTTCCCCCAGGTGGGGTAGGAAGTTCTGCCACAGCTACGGGATGGGGCAGGGGCCCTACACGCGCTCTGCAGGATCCTGCCCCTCCAGCGCATCTGGCTTAGTGCTGGAACGCTAATTCTTCTCACTGATTGAAGCTGGCATTCCTTTGTCAGAGGTATCCAATTCACACAATGTGGTCAACTCAAGGAAACAAGCTGAATCCAAACCCAGTAACAACCAGTTAAACAACCTGTTATTAGACTGAAGACTCAGGATAATAACAATAACGAGTAAGTCAGGCCAACCCAGCCCTTGTCTTAAACTGCACAAGATGATTAATTAATATACAGTTTAAAATATAAAAGCAAAACAAATTGCCTGAAAGCAGCAGCATTTCCATTACGGCAGTGAGGATGCGGTCACTCCTTTCAGACTGTGTGCATATAAATAAACATGCACTAACAAATTATCTCCTGGTTCAGAGCAGACAGAGGAGGCAGTAAGTGTAACAGAGTTTGTTGTTCCCCTTGGGGCAGAGCAAGAACCTGTAGGAGGAAAGAGATCCAAATCTATGTGTACAGCTACTTAAGTAAGAGATGGCAAGAAAGCAAGCTACGTCGGAGCAGCAGGAGAGGAAAGGGCTCTTAAAGGCAACTGGGGAAAGGCAATGTGGAGTGCAGCCAGGAAGAAGCAAGAAGACAGATTTATCAACATGACTGAGATGCTACTTAGGAACTTGCCTTGTGAAGAGAGTCAAGGGAAGAGGCTTTGAGAATAAGACATGAAGAAACCATGACAACTGAACTTCAAAATGGGAAAGCAGAGCTCTCCTTTGTGTACTACTCACTGAATCAGTAATTTTGATCATGGTACCTTCCTCCAGGGTTTTTCCAATGGTCTGGATTAGGGCAACAGAATTTCTGTTTCCATCTCCATACAAGCTGTAAAATTCAGAAAAGGCCCCAGGAATCCCTATTCCTAATTGTTTGCTCTAGACCCTATATTTCGGAGAGAAATCATACGGCTATATTCCATCCTGTCAAGTTACCACAGCTGTAGGTTTGGTTGCTGGCCACCTAAGTACCAGATAAAGAATACAGACAGTAAACATAAGAAGAATTTAGGCCTAGAAAAGGACTGTTGAGATGAGGAGCTGGACAGATGAGGGACAGGAGGAGACAGGACCCTGTCCAAATATGGATAGGGATCTAAGATCCCAGTAAAGGGGGTGCGGGGGGGAGAGAGAGTGGAAAGAAGGAACAAAGAAGTTAAGCTGAAGCTGGTAAGTATCAGGGTGTGGAGATGTCACCACTGCTAGGATCATTTCTAACTGGGTTCTGTAGGACAGTACTGTAGAGCAGACACCAGGACCAACAGGACCACTCCCTGGGCCTACAACTGAGCTTCCTAGCCTTTTCTGCTAGGAGCAGAGCAGTAGGATGCTGATGACTGGAAGAATGTCCTCAAGCAGAGAGATCTGAGAATCAGCTGGGGGATCTTGCTTCACACTCTAGAGAAATAGCAGGTTCTGCCTGGGTCTGCTACAAAATCCAGGTCAAAGTCCTTGCTTGAGTCCCAGGTCTACAAGCCTATGGTTGCTTCTTCTGTATCAGTGACAGATTTCAGGGGAATTGTCCCTCTTCCCTTTCCCAAGGAAAGCCAGCATGTCACTGCATCCCTACAACCAGACACATTTGCAGCACAGGCACAGATAAAGTAATTTCCCTCAGCTTCTTTTGCAGTTGCATCCCAGCCTGGTTTGGTGTCAATAGTAGCTGCTGTACACCTCCCCTGATTGAACTCAGGCAGCTTCAGCAAGGCTTGAGCAGCAGCACGCAGTGAACCTTTGTGAGCCAGCTCTGCAAACGAACTGGGAAGTTTTGGGCACTGCTTGGCTGGTTGCGGTGCAGGTTGGAGAGTGAGGCTGTTGGTAAGATAAAACTCTCTACATATATCACTGAACTTCTCACCCTGGCAGGTTCCTCGAGTAAGCTCCGAGCTGGGGGAAGAGAGTCTTGTCATGGGGAACCACACACTCCCATCCCTTCAAGAGCCCTTGCTCAGTACTACAGCAGGATGACAGCTGGCTGAAGTGCACAGCCACAGCTGGGAAAGGAGATGGTCATCAATACCTTCCTTCAGGGCTGAGCTTCTCCCTGCGCAGTTTAAGATCCACCTCCTCCATGCTCTGTCTGCAATGTGCCAGCTTCTCCTCCAGTCCATCAATCTGAAAAACACCACACCAGTCACCGTCATTTCCTCTCCCAGCTAACACGGATCCATCCCCACTCAGATGGGAAGGGCGGCAGCTCAGCTGCTCCACCTCCTTCCTCCCCAAATCAAGGGAGGGACAGCCCCAGCTCTGCATAGAGATCACAGCACAGAGAGCCCATCGCCTCCCAGATCAGCCCGCATTATACTCCAGGCGACTGTGACGTTACAATCCCAGAGACAGCCAAGCCAGCTCTAGCACTCCCACTTGTGTGGCTGGCCAGCACCTTTTTGCTAAGATCTGATCCTGTTCTAGTTTCTTTGCGTGTGGCTCCACAAGCAAAGATGGGATCTAAGGCATCTTTATGCAATTAAAAGAAGATAAAATGAGAGACTGGCCTTGGCCAAAGCCTGAGGGACAAGGTCTCGATTTAGTGCTGTGAACAGATGCAGAAGTTCATGGGACGTGACTACAAAGCACCCTCAGCTGTCTGGTTGGGTGAAGAGGGGACAAAGGGGCAACACTGATACCTCCCGTCTCTTTTACCCAACTAAATCTACAACAGCAACAGCAGTCTGCACAGTATCCTCAAGAGAGCATTCACCACTGCCTCCACACCTTTGACGTGCACAAAGTTTTGGGAGCAACATGTTCCCGTGCAGAAAAACACTAGTAATCATCTTGTGTCTCCTCGTCAGGTTTCCTAACAGCCACCCTCCCACCGTGTCTTCCTGTGGAGGGGAGTAGCTGTGGATAAGTACAAGAGGGTTGATCTACTTGTGGGCAAATGGATTGCCCAGGAGGGAATCCTACCACCGACAACAGTTCTCCTAGGAATCATTCCTCTTTTCTGCCCAGCAATCAGAGTGCAGACATCTTTAGGAAAACTTGTCTTTCAGGCTGGCTTCCAGCAGGGAAACAGTGGGACTAATCAGATAATAAATATGAACACAATGTCCTAGCCTGAAATAAAATGGCCTCGGTGCCCTGAGGTGGCAATGACTTCTCTTTTTAGCTACTTAGTGCAACATTCCGGCTGTGTCTGGCTCTCCAAGCAAGGCCAAGGCTGGCTAGATGGCTGGCAGCATGGCCTCTCTGCGCTGGGAGCCTTCTCAAACCAGAAGCTAAGAGGCAGCATGGTCCCAGGTAAAGTATGGAGGTGGAATGAGACACCAGCTGCCCGGACATCAGCCTCAGAGGTGGCCCAGAGCACAAACACTCCCATCAACAGTGATATGGGAAACAAAATCAAAGGTAGGGATCCCTAGTTATTGCAGCTTTGGGGATCAGCTCCATCCTGAGCTCCTTAGCAATCTCACACCTTCTGCTCAGGAAAGGCAGGCAAGCGTTATAAATAAGCAGTATGGGAGAAGAGGCTTGATGTAAAGGGGAGAACAAAGCAGGCTGCGAAAAGGAGTTTAGCCAGTCAGCTGAACAGTCTCACTGCAAGGAGCACAGCAGAGCTGGGGAGGGGGCCACATACAACAAGGCTCAAATAAATCTTTGCATCTTATCAGATAGATAGCAATTTCAAAGTCCCCTGTTATTAGGTAACTCTGCCAGGGCTGTTGAGATGCCAAGCTCCCCAGAGGCACCTGCACTGCCTCCCCGGAGCCCAAGGGGAGCACCAAGGCACATCACCTGATCCCAGAGCACGGGGAATGGTGCTTCTGTGTTTGGCAATGCTTGGGTTTGCCTGGATGGGGACACATATTTTTGAAGCACGTTAGCTGAAAATGCATTCGGTCAAGGCAAAGACAATTGTTCTCCATACCCAGCTATGCCAGTTAAGAATGTTAACTCCAGCTGCTCATCGCTATCTGTCATCCACTACAGCTCAGTCAGCGAGATGCATTGCCCCAGTCTGCTGCAGGGCCAACCAAAGGCTTCACCCAAGTCAGCTCTGACCACCGCTATCAGCAAGTTAATTTAATGGCAGAGTGCAGCAGAGTGGAGGTGGGGTGTCTGTCCAGTCCGATTTAAGAAGGACCATCTCCCTTACCAGCTCCTACCATTTGGAAACGACTGTGTCTCTGCTCCCTTATCTGCTGGAAACCCTCACATACACACACAGCAAGAGGTACTTCAGCATGTGTTACCTGGCTCCTCCTTAGCCAGCAAACTTACTACAACGTACCATGCCTTCTCTGGAAACGCATTTAAAAATCATGTTAAATAATACAATTTAAGGAGAGCTTTGGTTAGTCAGCTGCAACCCCACCACTAAATTATCCGTGTCACTGCACTTCCTATGCTCTCCTCCAGAACTGCTCCTCCTGCTCAGTTTGCAGTTCCTCTCACTAGTTCTCTGCCCATACTTCCGTCATTTCATGAGACATAACAGGAGGATATTCTGCCCAACTCTGCCAATGCTTTTACTTTCTGCTGACTGCAAATCTCCAGATTCCACATAATACTTTAACAGTTTCAACTGGTTTTACTGCTCTTAAATCAAAACCAAAGTTTGGGTCCCCTGCTGGAGAGCAATAATTTGCTAATAAACCGCATGCCCTAGAACTGCACCATCAGCTTTGCTGAGCTGGGGGCACAAGGGACAGAAAATAATCAGAAAAACCAAGGAAGGAGGAACAGATTGCTGAATGAACAAAATATTTTTCCTCCAGAATCTCGCTATTCCTTTTCTTCAGGCTATTCTGGGGCATTAGGGGTTGTAAGGAAGGACAAGAGTGAGGATTCCCAGATGTTATTCATCTACCGTGCCTCAGTTTCCCTACTTATAAATTAGGACAATATTATCTGCCTCCTGGAGGTGGCTCATTTATACAAGAAGCCTCAAACACTGACCCAAACTATGGGCAGAGCATTATCTTGACATGCCAGTGCCGTTGCCTCACTTGGGATTTGGGATCCGTTCTTGCAAGCTAGGAGTCTCTCAGCAGCTCAGCCATCCAAGCGACTCTTCACTGTAGGGCAAAGGAAAAGACAGAAATAGAAAATAAGCACAGGGAGAAATCAGAGTAATGCCTGGGAATTACTGATTACTCTCCGGGCTGCTGAGGAAACTCCCAGGGGGGCCGTAGCCTGTAAAGCTGTAGCACAAGAAAACCTGTAGAGCTTTGGCATAATTCCCTGCAACAGCTCTCCAGGAGAGCAGTCCTAGAAGCAGCTGCACACCTGAGCTTGCTGTGGATCGAAAGCTTTCCTCCTCCTAACTAATACATGAGAAGGTTAGTAGGGGTATGTACTGGCCTTCTGGAAGCCCACATGAAAACAAAGAGCCGAGCTCACTTAGCTGAACCATCACGGCACTTCACTCTGGCTTATCTTTTTAGTGGCAATCTCAGCACAGTGGCTTGTAAGTTGCAAAGACGAACCCTTGCTCCTTCTGGCTAGCCTTTCCATGAAGAGAATCCTCTGAGACAGAGCTGAAATGCAGCATGCAGAAGTTCACATGACAACTCCTCAGGTTCACATGGCCTATAGCAGGGACATAGGACTTCACTTGCAGCAACATCTTTAAGTAGCGTCAGCTAAAAGGGGCAAATGAAACAGGTGCTTCATATCCAGGCAGCGGCTCAGGGCACACAGAGCTGCCCTTCTGCTCCTCAACAGCCAATCCAGAAAGTCAAGTCCCAGCAGCTTTGGACGCACACAGGGATCTAAGACCAGATGCCTCCCTTGCTCCACAAGGTACGACAAGGCATTGAGCCATTTTTGTTGAATTCTGGCAACACTCGCTCACAATCTGGAGACCTTTTTAAACCAGAGAGACCTGGAGCAGATTTCAATCCAAACTGACTTCATGCTTATTACCAATCTCATTTGTTGGGACCATCTTGGGCAGGGAGCCCGAAATGGCTCACATAAAGGCAGAGACAAAGAGAGAAGAGAAAAAGAAGCAGCTTTGCTTACAGAGTTGAGCTGGATCCCTTTTAATACATTTTGTAATGAATTAATAAAAGCTTTCTTTCCAGCAGAAAGGCTAAAAGCGCTTTTCAAGAACTGGCATCCACCCTCCGCTTTTATGAATTCCCTAATTAAGATACTGGCAAAGAGCCATATCACACATACGTCGACATCCAACAGTGTTAGGTAATGAGGTTTTCGTCTTCTGACCCTCATAAAACAGATCAAAGCCAACTGAAGAGGTGGGGGCAAAGAAAAAAAACCTTCCCCAAGCAGTCTTCTCATGCCTTGTCACCTGCCAGCACACTTGAGCCGTTCTTTTCACAGAAGAATTAGTGGTTCCTGTTACCACAAATTTGGCTGGATTATTAAAATCAGTCCAGCAGAGATGAGTTTTGTTTAAATTCAAATGCTAACTTGCAGTTCATGGACACACTTCCATTTTCACCATGCTCTTGGAATCCTTTTTGCATGCTGGCAAATCATTTTGCAGGTGCTGTGCCCACAGCATGTTTGGAAATATTTACCAGGCAAGCTACTGCACAATAGAGGATGATCGACCAGCAAAGTCTAAGATAAATCCCGCAGATCAACCCTCTGTGTTGGTAAAGGAGAAAGGGCTGGATCCTACCTGCACCTCCTCCTTCAGCCTTGCAGAGACTATCCAGTTGGTCAGCCCGCCCTGCCTCAGCTCAGACCAGCAGCTTTGCAGGATAGCACACAGACATGACCACATGGCATCACCCACAGCTTTTTGAAAAATCCTGTAAGAACAGCTTTACTGAGTAAAGACTGTGTTGGCCTTTTCCCTATTCCTTATGCTCTTGCATAGACGCTGATCAGCCACTGCCCTGTCAGAAGCAGCAATACACTTTCTCCAAATACACAGTCAACATTTTGCAGCTCAGGCACTGCCTGAGCACAGAGTGTTCTCTTTGCATTTAATAGCCCCACTTCTTTGCTTCCATGAATTTTTTTCAGTTGTTGTTTGAGCCACAAGTATATTTTTAAGGGTTACAACATCACCTGGCAAGGAGTTTCACAGCACAGCCACAGGTTATGGGAAGAACCAAGCCCTCCTGTTTGTTCTGAGCTTGTCAGCTGCTAGTTTCATTTGATAGCCCTAATTTTGTATTGACTGTGAATGTTCATTCTTTGTTTAATGTTACCAATAGCACACAGAAGATACAGACCTATACTGGATCCCCTTGCAGTCATGTTTTCAAACTTAAAAGGACCTGGTATGCTTAGTTGTTTCTTGCATAGAAGTTTTCCACACCTTTGATCATCCTTGTCACTCTCTTAAGCTCATTCCATTTTCACTATTTTGCTACAAAATGGACCAGTCTTCCTGGTTTCATTTTCCTGAAGAGTTTCCTAAAGAAAGTTCTGTGCAGCTCAGCATTGTCAATAGGGCTGCCTGTTGAGAGACTACAGGGCTATATGAAAGGAGAAGTGGCATGAGTTTAAACTACCACAACATTATGGAGACACATTTATATCAGTTTAAACCAGGTCATATCAATTACACCTGCAATTTGTAAGTGCAAGCTAATCTGATAAGTATCCATATAGAAAATTGCATTCATTTAGCATCATAACTTCAGTTAAACAAGCATGACTCTGCCTAAATTAGGCCTTTCAAAGCTAGCCATGCATCATGTCATATTAAGACTCATTTGGAAAGTTTTCTTTACAATCATAACAGCTCAGAAGGTAATACTGAACCGAATGAAAGTTTAAATTATGAAATCAATATCTTGGTTGTCACGCATTCTGACACCTGAAACACAGCCCTCTCTCCCTCCGACTTAAAGGGATTTTGTTTTCTTCCTCCCTAACTTCTATTCAGTACCTTTCTCATCACTCCAAGGGGGAAGGATTTTACCTTTTAGTAGTAACTTTGCACTGAGAGGTTAAGCTTTCATCTATAACGCACCAAAGAAGAGTAGTTCTACAATCCTTTCAAAAGTAGTGTTTTCTATCATGACAACTTCTAAAAAAAAACCCCAAAAACTAAAGCTACCACAAGTCCCCAAACAATTTGCAAGAATCTTCTGTGGCAGCTAAAATCAGTCCTTTTTCATTCTGTGACCAGCAAGTCCCCAACAGGCTCACCCTTTTTACCACCTCTCTTTTTGTAAGGTAGACCCTACCATCTCAAATATCCTTGTCTGTCACATCTCAAACAGCAACCACCAAAAATTCATTATTTCAACTCTCCCCGCTAGACTCACTGAAGAGAAGCTTGGACAGTCAGCACACTCCCCTTTGGTGGTTGTATTTGGGTTAGAGTGCCCAGAAACGTCTGTTTCTCTAAAGAAAGCCTAACTAGATGAAATAGATCAGAAAACTACTACAAACTGAACTCCCATTCATATGACACAGTAATACACGCATCTTCACATTACTGGCTGACGAAATATACATGACAAGCCCCAAGTCCCTTCCCCAGCCTTTCTACCCTGGCTATCTTGGTCTGTTGTGCATATGCTCATCTGAAAGACTTCAGGACAGAGAAGCGATGAATGAGATTCACTGGATCGATTCTGCCCCATTTCAGCCATTTGTCACGAAGGTTCGGGCTTTTGCCACCCCCAAAGTGCCACAGACTTGAACTATGGGCTCTCCACAGCCTTCTCCAAGTCAGCCCAGATAGCACAGCCCAGTGCAGGAGCCAGAACGAAGTATGCTTCGGAGAGACCTTAACTAACACGCCTCAGTTTGTTAATGCAAATATAAAGCTTAAACAAAGCTTACCAGCAGCCCTCCTGCCACTCAGGAGATTACAAACCACCCAAGCGCAACAGTAAAAGGGCACCTTTAGAAGGAAGGCATACTCTTAAAAACCAGTCTTTTCCCCTTCTCCTTGCTGTGACTAACAGGCCTCTCATTTGCTGGTTTATCGCTGGGTTCCTCAAACGCAGCAGCCCGTGCCCAGCAGCTGGACTTTCACCACCGTGCAGTGCACGGATTTGCTAGCTGGGGCAAGGGCTTGCCGCAGCACCCGCCATGGGCGCACGCACTCCCTGCCTCTCCCTGCGCTGGCCCAAAGGCTCAGCAGGAGCAAAGGCACCAAACGCCACGGCTCGCTCAAAGGCCTGGGATGGAGGACGGGGCACCGAGCTCTCCGCTCGCAGGAGGGCCCGGCACAGGCAGCCCCGCCTCGGCTGCCATCG